AAAAGACGCCGGCTGGAGTCGCCCCTGGATCAGTGTCTCCTTGAACACGGGCCAGGAACGCCGTCTCTCCGGTCTGAGCCCAGAGCTTTATTTTTATTTATTTATTTTAAAAATATATATTTTATTGATTTTCCACAGAGAGGAAGAGAGAGAGGGATAAAGAGTTAGAAACATCGATAGGAGAGAAACAATCGATCAGCTGCCTCCTGCGGGCCCCCCACCGGGGATGTGCCCGCACCCAAGGCACACGCCCTTGACCGGAATCGAACCCAGGACCCTTCAGTCCGCAGGCTGACGCTCTAACCACTGAGCCACACCGGTTTTGGCAAGAGCCTAGAGCTTTAGAGCGAGGAGAAGCGTCCGAGCCTGCAGGCTCCCTCTTATAGAGGAAACATGGGGATATGAAACCAGCCCCTGCCAGCAAACAGGTCATCTCGGCTGGAGACCCTCTGCGTTCTCTCTCTCCCTCTCTCTCTCTCTCTCTCTCTCTCTCTCTCTCTCTCTCTCTCCAACTCTCCCTTTTGGTCCGTTTCTAGGGGTTTCCGTGGCTCTTTGGGGGAAATACTGTGTTTCCCCAAAAATAAGACCTACTTACAGGTTTCCTTCTGAGTGAAATAGAAGGCATCCCCCCGAAAATAAGGCCCCCATGAGAGATTTGGTCCACTGATTCTGAAAGAAATGGAGTCAGGAGAAATCCACCAGAAAATTCAGGAATTGGATTGTGACGATGATGTTCCAGAAGATGATGCCATGATTGTCATTGAATCAATGAGTAAATTCTTGATCCTGTAGGATTCACAGTGTGTCTGGTTTGTGTTGACAACGACCGTACTACCGTACCGTATACAGGGAATACGTTTCCTTTATTTTCATTTAACAATCAATGTGTGCCGTATTCTTTTTTTTTTAAACATTTTTTAATATATTTTTATTGATTTTACACAGAGAGGAATTGAGAGGGACAGAGAGTTAGAAACGTCGATGAGAAAGAAACATCGACCAGCTGCCTCCTGCACACCCCCCACTGGGGATGTGCTCGCAACCAAGGTCCATGCCCTTGACCGGAATCGAACCCGGGACCTTTCAGTCCGCAGGCCGATGCTCTATCCACTGAGCCAAACCAGTCCCGGCCGTATTCTTCTTCATGGAGAAATAAGACATCCCCTGGAAATAAGACCTAGCGCATCTTCGGGAGCAAAAATTAATAGAAGACACTGTCTTATTTTCGGGGAAACAGAGTAGGCTGGAGACTCGCTACATTCTCTCTCTCTCTCTCTCTCTCTCTCTCTCTCTCTCTCTCTCTCCTCTCTCCCTCTCTCCACCCCTCCCCCTTTCTGGTCCATTTCTAGGGGTTCCCTTGGCTCTTTGGAGGAAATAGTGAGGTTTGGCTCAGTGGTAGGGCGTCGGTCTGCGGACTGAAAGGCCCCGGGTTCGATTCCGGTCAAGGGCGTGTACCTTGGTTGCGGGCACGTCCCCGGTAGGGGGTGTACAGGAGGCAGCTGGTCGATGTTTCTCTCTCATCGACGTTTCTAGCTCTCCATCTCTCTCCCTGTCTCTCTGTTAAAAACCAATAAAATATATTTTAAAAAAAGAAAGAAAGAAAGAAAGGTATTCTTCCTAGTGGAAAAATAAGACATCCCCTGAAAATAAGACCTAGCCCATCTTTGGGAGCAAAAAATGTAAGACACTGTCTTATTTTCGGGGGAACAGGGCCTTCCCAGGGGCCCTCTACAGTTCTGTCTCGATTTCCTGGAGGGTGGGGTCCTGGGGGAGGGAAGGGTGGTTGAAGGCAGCAGGCAGCCGGCAGCTCTGATGAGAGGAACAATGAGGGAGTGAGGGATCCTGGGGATGTTTATCTTTCCAGCCCTGAGCTTCCCAAGGCTGACAGCCCCCCCCCCCATCCCCGGTCCCCGGGGTGGGATCCTGGGTGTGGCCACTTCCCACCACAGTGTCGGAGGCGGTGGGGGGTGGGGGGTGGGGGGACAGGGCCCTCCCCCGCTGGGCAAGGGGGTGTGATTTCCTCCCAAAGAGGAAATGTGTCGCCCACACTTATCTGCAGGGCCGAGAGCCACCCCACCCAGGGCTGCACCCCACAGGAGTGCCAGGGGAGGGAGTGGGGGGCCCTGGCCGGGGACCCCCCCCCCATACTGCCATGGCGAGTGGAGGGAGGAGGCTGCAGGTCAGAGGCCTGCAGGGACCTGGGGCCCCGGGGAGTGGGGTCCCAAAGGGGGGGATCTGGGTCCTGGTCTGGGGGTGGGCGGGGTTTGAGCATCGCAGCCCCTGGAAATTCCAGGGGGGCTCCACAAATAGCCCGGCCTGCAGGGAGGGCCTGGGGGGCGGGAGGTGGGGGGGGGAGAGCCTCTCAGCGCCCAGAACTGGGCAGGAAGGAAGCAGGCCCTACACCCAGAGGCCAGCGGTCAGGCATATGAATGAGGTCACTTCGGTTTTTCCTACAGCCCTATTTAAAAAAAAAAAATAGATTTTTTAATGGATGTCAGGGAGGAAGGGGGAGGGAGAGGTGAGAGAGACACACACACACATCTGTGAGGAGAGAGAATCACAGATCGGCTGCCTCCTGCACGCCCCCACCTGGAGGTGGAGGCCGCCACCCGGGCCTGTGCCCTTGGCCGGGAATCGAACCCGGGACCCTTCCGTCCGCAGGCTGACGCTCTATCCACTGAGCCACACTTGTGGAGGGCCCTAAACCCTTATTTTATTATTATATTTTTATTTTATTTTATTTTTCAGTTTTAAAACTATATTTATTTTTAATATATAGATATATATATATATATATATATATATATATATATATATATATATATATATATATATATATATATATTTTTTTACAGAGGAAGGGAGAGAGAGAGAAACATCCATCAGCTGCCTCCTACACACTCCCCACTGGGGATGTGCCCGCAACAAAGGCACATGCCCTTGACCGGAATCGAACCCGAACCTTTCAGTCAGCAGGCTGACGCTCTATCCACCGAGCCAAACTGATTTCAGCTATTATATTTTTAAAATATATTTTATTGATTTTTTTTTTTTTTTTACAGAGAGGATGAAAGAGGGATAGAGAGCTAGAAACATTGATGAGAGAGAATCATCCATCAGCTGCCTCCTGCACAGCCCCTGTGCCTGCAACCAAGGTCCATGCCCTTGACCGGAATCGAACCTGGGACCCCTGAGTCTACAGGCCGACGCTCTATCCACTGAGCCACACCGGTCAGGGCCTAACAGGCTTTTGATATCTGCCTGGCTCTTCGTCTCGGCGGGTACCAACGAGAGGGCTGGTGTGGAACCTTCTAGAAGCCCCACCTACCATTTTCTTTGAGAACAGACACCCCCTGGTAGGGTTTGGGCTCCCACCAGGGGCCCCTGGTCATGTTCCTTCAGAGACAGAGCTGTACCCGAACCTGCCACACGGGGGCGCCATTGCCCAACCGTGGGCTCCAGCTCCCGAAAAGGGAGATCAGGCTAGACCTGGACCTCACACACACCTTCTTCTGGATGAGATTAAGGGTGAGGGGGTGCTGAGGGAGGTGCCGGAGGGATCTGAGCAGAAACAGGCTCGCTCTCTCCTTTTTTTGTTAAAATATATTTTATTGATTTTTTACAGAGAGAGAGAAGGACAGAGAGCTAGACACATCGATGAGAGAGAGACATCCATCAGCTGCCTCCTGCACGCCCCCTACTGGGGATGTGCCTGCAACCAAGGCACATGCCCTTGACCGGAATCAAACCCAGGACCCCTCAGTCCGCAGGCCGACGCTCTATCCACTGAGCCACACCAGTCAGAGCCAGGCCCCCTCTCTCTCTCTCTCTCTCTCTCTCTCTCTCTCTCCTCTCTCTCTCTCTCTCTCTCTCTCTCTCTCTCTCTTAAATATATTTTTATTTATTTACTAGAGTCCCAAATTCTAGCAAGAGTAGGCCATCCTGCCCTAATCTAGGGCAGGTACCTTGGTTGCAGGCACATCCCCAGTGGGGGGCGTTCAAGAGGCAGCTGATCGATCTTTCTCTCTCATCGACGTTTCTAGCTCTCTGTCCCTCTCCCTTCCTCTCTGTAAAAAATCAATAAAATATATATTTTAAAAAGTAGGCCTAGCCCTGACCAGTTTCGCTCAGTGGATGAATTCGTGCATGAGTGGGGTCTGGCCAGCCTGGCCATGGGGAGAAGGGGACATTGGTGGTTGGCCTGCCTGCCTGCTGGTCGCACTCCTGGTCGGGGGGACCATGTGCATATTAGCCTTTTATTCTATAGGATACACACCGAGTGGCCAGATTATTATGCGTTCTGAGATCATCATCATCTGGCCCCTTGGTGTATGTATACATTTATTTTTTATTTTATTTATTTATTTTTCCTAAAGGTTGCAAACAGGCTCTGTTGCCCTTGAAAAGCCCCTCTGCAGCCAAAACCGGTGTGGCTCAGTGGATAGAGCGTCGGCCTGCGGACTGAAAGGTCCCGGGTTCGATTCCATCCCAGGGCACGTGCCAGAGGCAGCTGATCGATGCTTCCCTCTCATTGATGTTTCTAGCTCTCTATCCCTCTCCCTTCCTCTCTGTACAAAATCAATAAAATATATATATTTTTAAAAAAGAATAAAAATAAAAAAAATAAAGGACTTTGTCTCCCACGTTCTTTAAAAAAGAAAAAAGAAAAGCCCATGTGCAGCTGGAGCTATGGGTATTCTCCTTGGACAACCATTCCTGGTGGGATTCTAAAAGGGAAGAAGCTAAAAAATAAAAATAAAAAATAAAAAATAAAATAAAAATAAAAGGAAAAAAGCTGCAGGGGCCCAGCTAGTCAGGTCCCTGCAGGGTCTGGGGGCGTGGCGGTGGGCGTGACAATGGGCGGGGCATAACAGCTCTGGGGGCGGAGCCGCTGCCTCACATTGGCCGGCGGCGCCCACGCCTTGGCCAATCGCTGGAGGGCGGGCGGGTTGTCATGGCGACAGGGAACGCTAACACAGCAGCATCAGCAGCAGCAGCAGCAGCGGCCTGGGGATGGCGCGGAACTTGTATGGCCCCGGCGTCCGGATGGGCAACTGGAACGAGGACATCTACCTGGAGGAGGTGAAGGCAGACAGGGCGGGGTGTCTCCGGGACTCCCCCCCACCGTCCCGGCCCCCCACAACCCGCGAGGGCCCCCCCCTAAGTCACACCCCAGAGTCCCCCTCCCGTCCCACCCGCTCTGACCCCCCCCAGGAATCTGCTCGGAGGTCCCGCCTGCCCTGCACCTCACTCTTTCTTTGGGGTCCCTTGTTGTTTTTTTTTTAATATATATATTTTATTGATTTTTTAAAAATATATTTTATTGATTTTTTACAGAGAGGAAGAGAGAGGGATAGAGAATTAGAAACATCGATGAGAGAGAGTCATCCATCAGCTGCCTCTTGCACACCCCCTACTGGGGATGTGCCACAACCAAGGTACATGCCCTGGACCAGAATCGAACCCGGGACCCTTCAGTCCGCGGGGCGACGCTCTATCCACTGGGCCGCACCGGTCTCGGCTGTTCTCAAACTTTATTCACTTCTGACCTGAAACATCCTAGTGTCTGCTATGCAGGACGATGGCTGGTCCTCACTCTGTGTGTGTGTGTGTGTGTGTGTGTTTATGTATGTGGTATGTGTGTGTGTGTGGTGTGTGGTATGTGTGTGTGTGGTATGTGGGGGTGTGTGGTATGTGTGTGTATGTATGTGGTATGTGGGGTGTGTGTGTGTGTGTGGTATGTGGGGTGTGTGTGTGGTATGTGTGTGTGTGTGTGGTATGTGGGGTGTGTGTGTGGTATGTGGGGTGTGTGTGTGTGGTATGCGGTATGTGTGTGTGTGTGTGTGGTATGTGGTGTGTGTGTGGTATGCGGTGTGTGTGTGTGTGTGGTACATGGTGTGTGTGTGTGGTATGTGGTGTGTGCATTTCCCTCACCAGGAGCTCATGAAGGACTTCTTGGAGAAGAGGGATAAGGGAGAGCTTCTCATACAGAAGAACAGAAGAATGAAGAATCTCCTTCTGCGGCCGGTAATTTTAAACCCAGACCCCGAACCCAAAGTTCCTCCCCATCAACCGAGAGACCGCCCTGAGTGGCCAGATGGTGGGATCTCTGGACGCATAATCATCTGGCCACTCCGTGCACATCCTGTAGAATAAAAGGCTCATGTGCAAACTGTCCCCTCGACCAGGAGTGCGACCAGCAGGCAGGCCGGCCCACCGCCCCTGTCCCCTCCCCCTGCCAGGCTGGCCGGCCCCCACCCATGCACGAATGCATGCACCGGCCTCTAATGTATATTGATATATATGTGTATACACACCGAGTGGCCAGATGGTGATGATGATCTCTGAACGCATAATCATCTGGCCACTCAGTGTTCTCTCTCTCTCTCTCTCCCCCCCCCCCAATATATTTTATTGATTTTGTACAGAGAGGAAGAGAGAGGGATAGAGAGTTCGAAACATTGATGTGAGACAAGCATCGATCAGCTGCCTCCTGCACGCCCCCCACTGGGGATGTGCCCGCAACCAAGGTTCATGCCCTTGACCGGAATCGAACCCGGGACCCTTCCATCCGCAGGCCGACGCTCTATCCACTGAGCCAGACCGGTTAGGGCAAACATTTTTAAAAAAATGTTTTTATTTTTTTTATTTTTATTGATTTCAGGGAGGAAGGGAGAGGAGAGAGAGAGAAACATCCATGATGAGAGGGAATCATGGATCAGCGGCCTTCCTCCCGCATGTCGGACCGATCCTGCAACCCAGGCAGGTGCCCTTGACCGGAATCGAACCCGGGATCCTTCCGTCCGCAGGCCGACGCTCTGCCCACTGAGCAACACCGACTGGGACCACCGTGTTTCTTTAAGGAAATAAATGGCCAAGACCGGTGTGGCTCAGTGGATAGAGCGTCGGCCTGCGGACTGAAGGGTCCCGGGTTCGATTCCGGTCAAGGGCACGGACCTTGGTTGTGGGCACATCCCAAGTAGGGGGCGTGCAGGAGGCAGCTGGTGGATGTTTCTCTCTCATCGATGTTTCTGGCTTCTCTATCCCTCTCTCCATTCGTTTCTGTAAAAAATCAATAAAATATTTGTGTGCATGCATATAAGTACAACCAATGGACATAAAACTCTGAAGAGGGAGGGTATGTATGGGAGGGAGGGAGGGGGGCAAAAAAAATCAATAAAATATATAAAATAAAATAAAATAAATAAAAAATAAATGAAAAAAGGAAATAAATGGAAACACGCTGACTCGAACCCGGGGCCCTTCCGCCCGCAGGCCGAGGCGCTGCCCACTGGGCCACACCGGCCGGGTTTGTTAATCGCGCCGCCTCCCCCCCCCCCCCCCCCCCCGCAGGTGCAGCTGTCGGTGACGGAGGACGGCTGCGTGCACTTCGGGGACCGCGTGATGCTGGTGAGCCCGCACCACCCCGAGCCCCGGGCGCAGCGCTTCCTCCCGGGGGACCTGAGCCTGTGCCTGGCGCCGGAGGAGATCCAGGCGCGCCTGACCGACCGGTTCCAGCTGCCCTGCGGCCTCAGCGCGGCGCCCACCCGGGCCCCGGTGCGCAGGAACGCCTTCGCCGTGCTGAGGTGAGTGAGTGCCTGCTGCCCGGGGCCCGCGCAGACCTGTCCCTTCCCCTGCCGCTCAGGCCGTCCTGGGCCGGAGCCCGGAGGGCTGCCTGGAGGCGGCGGCCCCGCAAACGCTCCTTTTTTAATTTACTTATTTTTATTTATTTATTTTTTAAAATATATATTTTACTGATTTTTCACAGAGAGGAAGAGAGAGGGATAGAGAGTCAGAAACACCGATGAGAGAGAATCATCCATCAGCTGCCTCTTGCACACCCCCTACTGGGGATGTGCCCGCAACCAAGGCACATGCCCTTGACCGGAATCGAACCCGGGACCTTTCCGTCCCCAAGCCGACGCTCTATCCACTGAGCCAAACCGGTTTCGGCATTTTTAATTTATTTATTTTTATTAAATTATTATCTGTGTACATATACCATTGCCCCCCCACCCACCCATACATGCCCTCCCTCCCCAGAGTTTTGCGTCCATTGGTTGTGCGTATATGCCTGCACACAAGTCCTTCGGTTGATCTCTTCTCTCCCCCAGATCTCTCTCCCCTCCCCGCTGTCATTGGACAGTCTGCTTGCTGCTTTACTGTCTCTGCATCTGTCTTTCGGTTCATCGGTTTATAATGTTCCTTATTATGATCCATAAATGAGTGGGATCCTGTGGTGTTTCTCTTTCACCGACTGGCTTGTTTCACTCAGCATGATGTTCTCCAGTTCCATCCAGGTGGCTGCCAATGGTGAGAATGCCTTCTTTTTTTTTTTTATGGCGGCGTAGTATTCCATGGTGTAGATGTACCATCGTTTTTGTGAACTTTCCTTTAAAAAAAAAAAAAAAAATATATATATATATATATAATATGGCCCAGAAAGGAACTCACTACAGACGGATTCATTGGCCTCTCAGCATAACCATGATGGTTTGTCTCAGTTTCCGTCCTTATAAGGGAATTCCTTGTATCACATGATCTCACGCATCTAGAGAAAATAATGGACAACATACACGGATGAGCAAACACAGGCCCAGAGACAGGGAAGCCGGGAGCAGACCCTCAAACCCCCGAGGGAAGGCAGGGGAGGGTGGGGGGAAGGCGGAGAGATCAACCAAAGGACTTGTGTGCGTGCCTATGGGCCTAGCCAGTGGCCACAGACAACAGGGGGGTGGGGGCATACGTGGGGAGGGGTTTGGGACGGGAATGGGGGGGATGAGGACAATTATGTGACACCATCATCAATAAAATTAAAATTGAAAACAAATATATATAAAACATTATAAACTGATGAACAAAAAGATATCAATAGATGCAGAGACAGTAAAGCAACAAGCAGACTGTCTAATGACAGCGGGGAGGGGAGGGAGATCTGGGGGAGAGAAGAGATCAACCGAAGGACTTGTCTGCACACATATACGCACAACCAATGGACGCAAAACTCTGGGGAGGGAGGGCGTGTATATGTGTGCGGGGCAATGGTAAGATATGTACACAGATAATATCTTAATTAAAAAATAGCCGAAACCGGTGTGGCTCAGTGGATAGAGCGTCGGCCTGTGTACTAAAAGGTCCCGGGTTCGATTCCCTTCAAGGGCATGGACCGTGGTTGCGGGCACATCCCCTGTAGGGGGTGTGCAGAAGGCAGCTGGTCGATGTTTCTCTCTTATCCGTGTTTCTAGCTCTCTATCCCTCTCCCTTCCTCTCTGTAAAAAAAATCAATAAAATATATTTAAAAAATAAAAATAATATTTTTTATTGATTGTTTACGGAGAGGAAGGGGGAGGGAGAGAGAATTAGAAGCCTCGATGAGAGAGAAAACATCCATCGGCTGCCTCCTACACACCTTCTACTGGGGATTGAGCCCACAACCCAGGCAGGTGCCCTTGGCCAGAACTGAACCCGCGACCCTTCAGTCCAAAGACTGATGCTCTATCCACTGAGCCACACCGGCCAGCGCTTTTAAAAAATATATTTTATTGTTGTTTTTTTTTGTTTTGTTTTTTGTTTTTTACAGAGAGGAATGGAGAGGGTTAGACATGTAGAAACATCGATGAGAGAGAAACATCCATCAGCTGCCTCCTGCACGCCCCCCACTGGGGATATGCCCGCAACCCAGGCCCATGCCCTCGACCGGAATCGAACCCGGGACCTTTCAGTCCGCAGGCCGGCACTCTACCCACTGAGCCACACCGGCCGGGGCGGGCGGAACCCAGGTCCTTGGCGCGCGCCTCCCCGTTTCCCGGAGGGCGCAGAGGGAAGACGGCACCGGGTGCCTACGGTCCGGGCACGCGGCGCGTGTCCGGGGACACGGCTCAGGCGTGAGCACGCGTGAACACGCATGACCGGGGAGGTGGTCCGCAGCGCACACACACACACACACACACACACACACACACACACAATGCAGAGAGAGATCGTGTGACGCCCGCCCTCCGCCCGCAGCGTGGACAGAGAGGCCGTCGGGGACGTGCTGAGGTTCGGGCAGAATTTCCGCCTGGGCATCACGCTGGGCTGCGAGGACCGGACGGTGAGGCCCCCGGGGCCGCGGGGCGTGTGGCCGCGGGCCCCGGCGGGCTCGTGGCTCCCTCCCGGGGGGACAGGGCGCTCCGCGGGTGTGGGCTGTGTCTCTGCAGCTTTTATATATAAATATCAATACATATATATATAATTTTATTACAAATTTTTTTAAAAAAATATTTATTTTATTGATTTTTTTACAGAGAGGAAGGGAGAGAGATAGAGAGTTAGGAAACCTCAATGAGAGAGAAACATCGTTCAGCTGCCTCCTGCACCCCCCCCTCCCCACCGGGGATGTGCCTGCAACCAAGATCCATGCCCTTGACCGGAATCGAACCCGGGACCTTTCAGTCCGCAGGCCGACGATCTATCCACTGAGCCAAACCGGTTTCGGCTTGGCAGATATTTAAATAAATAAGTAAATAAATAAATATATTTATTTATTTACTGGAGGCCCGGTGCATGAAATTCGTGTATGCACAGGGGTCCCCCTCAGCCCAGCCTGCACCCTCTCCAAACTGGGGACCCCTCGGGGGATCAGGGCTAAGGCAGATGTCAGACACCCCTCTCACCATCCGGGACTGCTGGCTCCTAACCACTCACCTGCCTGCCTGGTCTCCACTAACTGCCTGCCCCGCCTGCTGGCCTGATCGCCCCTAACGACCTCCCTCCCTCACCCACCGACGACCTGGTCACTCCTCACTGCCCCCACCCCTGCTGGCCTGATTACCCCTAACTACCCCCCCCCCCCCCGCCAACGACCTGGTCACCTCCAACTGCCCCTGCTCTGCAGGCCTGGTCACTCCTAACTGTCCCCCCTGCCTGGCTTGTCATCCCCAACTGCCCCTCTCAGCCTGCCTGGTAACCCCTAACTGCCCCCTGCTGGCCTGGTTGCCCCCAACTGCCTCTTCTGCTGGCCTGGTTGCCCCATACATCCTGCTTGTGCAGTTGTTTGGTCATCCCTCACTAACCCCGCTGCTGGCCTGGCCTTAGGCAGCCATCTTGTGAGAATGTGAGGGTTAATTTGCATATCACCTCATTCTTTTCTTTTATTTAAAAAAAATATATTTTATTGATTTTTTTACAGAGAGGAAGAGAGAGTTAGAAACATCGATGAGAAAGAGAGACATCAATCAGCTGCCTCTTGCACACCCCCTACCGGGGATGTGCCCGCAACCAAAGTCCATGCCCTTGACCGGAATCGAACCCGGGACCTTTCAGTCCGCAGGCCGACGCTCTACCCACTGAGCCACACCGGTTTTTGGCTATTACCTCATTCTTATATAGGGTTGATTTCAGAGAGGAAGGGTGATAGAGAGAGAGAGAGAGAGAATCATCAATGATGTGAATCACGGATCGGCTGCCTCCCGCACACCCCACCCTGGGGATCAAGCCCACACCCCGGGCCTGTGCCCCGACCGGGAATCTCTCCCAGACACTGGCACCCAGTGACGAGGGCCCTCCGCCTGCTGTGCCCCCAGCTGTACCTGTCCAGCGACCACCGCACCCTCCTGCGGTCCTCCAGCCTGTCCTCGCTGCAGGAGGTGTACCTGACGGACGAGGACTCCTACCTCAACTGCTGGCAGGCCGCCTTCCCTGACCCCCAGCTGCGCCTGGAGTGGGAGGGCCAGCCGGTCCCGGTGAGCTGGGGCCCGCGCTGCTGGGCGGCGGGAATGGAGGAGGCCAGACTCGCCGCCGTCTCTGAAATGGGGGCTCCTGTTGCTCATGCTGTTTCTGTCTCTTCTTCTTCTTCTTTGCGCCTCACCCTCGGAGGAGGACATGCGTTGTGCCCTGGGCCAGCGTCCTGCCTATTTAAGATAACACACTGAACGTGTTATCCGTCGCCGAAACCGGCGTGGCTCAGTGGATAGAGTGTCGGCCTGCGGACCGAAGGGTCCCAGGTTCGATTCCGGTCAAGGGCATGGGCTTTTGGTGGCAGGCACATCCCCAGTGGGGGCGGGGGGGGGGTGCAAGAGGCAGCTGATCGATGATTCTCTCTTATCAATGTTTCTGACTCTCCCTCTCCCTTCCTCTCTAAAAAAAATCAATAAAATGCATAAAAAAATAAAATAAAAATAAGCAGAGCCGAAACCGGTTTTGCTCAGTGGATAGAGCGTCGGCCTGCAGACTGAGGGGTCCCAGGTTCGATTCCCGTCAAGGACATGGACTTTGGTTGCGGGCACATCCCCAGTGGGGGGCGTGCAGAAGGCAAGTGACGCATGATTCTCTCTCATCGATGTTTCCAACTCTCTATCCCTCTCTCTTCCTCTCTGTAACAATAAAATATATATTTTTAAAAAATAAGGGGAAATGGTCATTCTATTATAGCTAGTAATCAAAGAAAAATCACATTAAAGAACCTGACATGCCACTGCTAGGTGCTTAACACAACATCACCAAAGCAAGGATAACGTGGTTGCCATAGAGCACAGAAATGTCAGGGTCTGTTTTCCTTTTGGAAAACAATGTATCTTCATTTAGAGAGCTTTATTTATTTATTTTTAAAATATATTTTATTGAGGTTTTTTTTTTTTTTACAGAGAGGAAGAGAGAGGGAAAGAGAGTTAGAAACATCGGTGAGAGAGAATCATCGATCAGCTGTCTCTTGTACACCTCCTTCTGCGGATGTGCCCGCAACCAAGGTCCATGCCCTTGACCGGAATCGAACCTGGGACCTTTCAGTCCCGCAGGCCCACGCTCTAGCCACTGAGCCACACCGGTTTCAGCTAGAGAGCTTTAAAAGTTCACACTACTGACAGTGTGACCCAGTGCATCGGTGTCTCTCCATTCTTCTCTCTCCCTCTCTCTTCCTCTCCCTCTCTCTTTTTCTCCCTCTCCCTAAGCATGTCGTCAGGTGAAAATTAAAAAAATAATGCCACTGTCTGGCTGGCGTGGCTCAGTGGTTGAGCATCGTCCTAGGAACCAGGAGGTCACGGTTTGATTCCAGGTCAGGGCACAGGCCTAGGGTTGGGGACTCCATCCCCAGTAGGGGGCGTGCAGGAGGCAGCCGATCCGTGATTCTCTCTCCTCATGGATGTTTTTCTCTCTCCCTTCCTCTCTGAGATCAATACAAATATATATATATATTTAAAAATAACACCCCCTGACCACATTTTATGGCTTCAGATGGCCTCCAAGATGATTTGGAATGATTGTGTCATGTTCTTTCTCTACCTTAATGCCATGGTCAGCAAACTCATCCGTCCACAGAGCCAAACATCAACAGCACAACGATGGACATGTCTTTGGAGAGCCACATTTTTTTTTTTTTTAACTTAAACTTCTTCTAACACCACTTCTTCAAACTAAGACTCGCCCAGGCCGTGGTCTTTTGTGGAAGAGCCACACACTGCAGGGGCCAAAGAGCTGCATGTGGGTCGTGAGCCGCAGTTTGCGGACCAAATAGATGTATTTTATTTTTATTTATTTATTTATTTATTTATTTATTTATAAAGTACACTAATGATTCTTTAAAAAATATGTATTTGTATTGATTTCAGAGGAACATGGAGAGGGAGAGAGAGAGAGAGAGAGAGAGAAACACCCGTGATTAGAGAGAATCATGGACTGGACTATCATCCACTGAGCCAAATCAGCCAGGTCTCCATATATTTAAATAACTATGTAATGCATTCACAGAGTTTTGCTTTTATTTATTTATTTATTGTTAAATTATTTGTTCATCGAATATTCAGATTTAGTAAGGAATCCTTTACTTTCTCTGGCAACCCTAGTCATTAATCTTTTTTTTTTTTTTTAAATTGATCTTATTGATTTTACACAGAGAGGAATTGAGAGGGACAGAGAGTTAGAAACGTTGATGAGAGAGAAACATCGACCAGCTGCCTCTTGCACACCCCCCACTGGGGATGTGCCCGCAACCAAGGTACGTGCCCCTGACCGGAATCGAACCCGGGACCCTTCCAGTCCGCAGGCCCACACTCCATCCACTGAGCCACACCGGTTTCAGCACATTTTTGCTTTTAGGAACGGGGAGGCCTGATAGTGCCCTTTCTTTATCTTCACAGGCGAACACCAGGATCCTCATCAACCACAGCCACACGAACCGGGGGCTGGCCGTCCACCGCCACCTCTTCTTAAGGTACCGAGTGGTGGGGCCCAGCCAACGGGCGGTGGGCGGGGCTGTGAGGCTGTGGGCGGGGCTGTGGGGCTTTGGGCGGGGCTATGGGGGCTGTGGGCAGGACTATTGTGGCTGTGGGAGGGGCTGTGGTGATTGTGGGCGGGGCTATGGGTGGGACTGTGGGGCGGGACTGTGAACGGGGCTAATGGGGGCCGTGGGCGGAGCTATGAGAACTGGGTGGGACTGTGGGCGGGGCTATGGTGACTGTGGGTGGGGTTATGGTGGCTGTGGGCGGGTCTATGGTGACTGTGGGCAGGGCTGTGTTGATTATAGGCGGGGCTATAATGGTCATGAGCGGGACTATGGTGGCTATGGGCGGGATTAAGGGCGGGGCTATTGGGCTGTGGGCGGGGCTATAGGGGCCTTGGGCTGTGGGTGGGGCTGTGGGCAGGGCTATGGGGCCTGAGGGTGGGGCTGTGGGCAGGGGCAGAGCCTCATGCAGCTATGGATAGGGCTGTGGGTGGGACTATGGTTGCTGTAGGTGGGGCTGTGAGACTGTGGGCGGGGCTATGGTGGTTATGGGCGGGATTATGGGCCGGGCTATTGGGCTGTGGGCTGGGCTATAGGGCTGTGGGGCTGTGGGTAGGGCTGCGGGTGAAACTGTGGGGGCTGTGGGCACGATTGTGGGGCTGTGGGCAGGGGCAGAGCTTCATGTGGCTGTGGGCGGGGCTGTGGGCTTGTGGGCGGGGCTATGGGCTTGTGGGCGGGGCTATGGGGTTGTGGGCGGGGCCGTGGGCGGGGCTGTGGGCGTCAGCAAAGAAGCTGTGATCAGAGTGTGAGAACAGGCAGGAAAGCCCTCCCCTGTTGGGATGTTGTCACCCAGGTGTGAAAGGTCCCATGGGGCCCTGTGGGGTACCCCAGGCCCTGCCCTGGGCGGGGGGTGTCCCTGGCAGTGGGGATCCCCCCCCCCAGCCTCGCCCACGGGTGAAGCTTCCCGGCACAGGCTGTACCTGGTGCCAGCACGTCACCCCCAGAGGCGAGCACGGGCCAGATACACGAGGTTTGCTTGGACGTGGCCGAAAAAAACACAAAAGCTTCTGTTTTCTTTTCTTTTCTTTAAAATATTTTATTGATTTCTTACAGAGAGGAAGGGAGAGGGAGAGAGAGCTAGAAACGTCGATGAGAGAGAAACATGGACCAGCTGCCTCTTGCACACCCCCCACTAGGGATGTGCCCACAACCAATGTACATGCCCTTGACCGGAACCGAACCCGGGACCCTTCAGTCCGCAGGCCGACGCTCTGTCCACTGAGCCACACCGGTTTTGGCTGGGACCTCTTTATGACATAGGAGTATGCACCACAGGGTGTCGTAAAAATTAAGTGACAATTTTTTTTTTTTAAATTAAAATGTTTCTTACAGCCGAAGCCAGTTTGGCTCAGTGGATAGAGCGTCGGGTTGCGGACTGAAAGGTCCCAGGTTCGATTCCGGCCAAGGGCATGGACCTTGGTTGTGGGCACATCCCCGGTAGCGGGTGTGCAAGAGGCAGCTGATCGATGTTTCTCTCTCATCGACGTTTCTATCTCTCTCTCCCTTCCTCTCTGTAAAAAAAAAAAAAAAAAAAAAAAAAAAAAAAAAAAAAAATCAGCCGAGACCGGTTTGGCTCAATGGATAGAGCGTCGGCTTGGGGATTGAAAGGTCCCGGGTTCAATTCCGGAAAAGGGCATGTACCTTGGGTGCGGGCACATCCCCGGTAGGGGGTGTGCAAGAGGCAGCTGATCGATGACTCTCTCTCATCGATGTTCCTAACTCTCTATCTCTCTCCCTTCCTCTCTGTACAAAATCAATAAAATATATTTTTTTTAAAAATCAGTAAAATATATTTAAAATGTTCCTTACATACCGTTCTACTGGCCGGGCTACGGGCCGTGAGTTTGACATGCTCGCTGCAGCGCCCACTCCCTCCACCCGCACTCCCGCCCCCCACACCCCCGGGCTCCGGCCGGGACCGCCCACGGCTCGCTCTCTCCCGCCCAGGAGCTACTTCGGGAAGGAGGCGGAGGTGGCCGCCCACACCCACCTGGACACCCACCGCGTGGAGATGCCCAGGAACCACTGGATGCTGGTGACGGGCAGCCCCCGGGGGGCGGCCTCCACCATGCTGGACGTGCCCAGGCCGCCCGCGGAGCGCGGGCCCGCCCCGGAGCCGGGGCCGCAGTGACAGCCCCCGGGGAGGGAGCACCCCGGGGTCCCAGGCCCCCAGCCCCCGGAGCGGGAGTGGGGATGACAGAGGGTGGGGCATCTGGAACACGATCCGGCTCCGCCAGGAGAGGGACACAGGGGCTTCTTCGTGGGCTCCTCCGGGTCCCCCGCTGTGCGCCCCCGGGGGCCGTGTCTGTAATTCTGCAATAAAGCACGTGGCGTGGTCTGAGTTTGGGGTTCCTCGGCTTCCTCCGGCTTCGGACAGTGTCCCGTGGGCCCAGCAAGATGCTGCGGGCCGCGGCCGACCGTGGGGGGGAGGGGGGGCGCCAGGGGAACACCGTGTCTCCTCATCCTTCCTGTCCTGCCTCTGGCTCCGGGGCGGCTGGAGCTGTCGCTGACCAGCCACGTGTTGTTGTTGTTGTTGTTGTTATTTATTATTATTTTATTTTGTTTTATTTCATTTAAAAAAATATATTTTATTGGTTTTTGTTTTTTTTTTTTTTTTTCAGAGAGGAAAGGCGAGGGATAGAGCATTAGAAACATCGATGAGAGAGAATCATCCATCAGCTGCCTGGGGATCTGCCTGCAACCCAGGTCCATGCCCTTGACCGGAATCGAACCGGGGACCCTTCCGTCCAGGGGCCGACGCTCTACCCACTGAGCCACGCCGGCCTTGGCTGTCCTTACTATACTGTTACTGTGACAGTGGAGGAGGATGGCTGTTCTCAGGCCCCGCCTGGCTGCAGAGGGAGGTGCCCAGCGCCTGGTCGCACCTCAGGTGGCAGTTCTGGGCAGCCCAGCGAGAGGGGCCCGACGTGCCAACCAGCTCCCACCCGCCCGGGGCACCCGGCCTGGGCTCTCTGGCCTGCAGGGGGCGGGGGGGGGCGCTGTCCCATGCAGGGAGGTCTGCAAAGTCCACCCCCTGGGGCAGCTGCAACTCCCTGGGCCCTGGCACCCCAAGGGGTCCGAGATGCTCTGTGCCCAGGTACCACGGCCGGCCGGGGCCTCCAGATCCTCGCTCCCCGCCCTCAGAGGATGCCGCGGAGGGTTCACTCCCGTGACTCCGTCTCCTGTGGCCGGTGCATTGGCTGCCCCTGGTGGGTGGGGCCCGGGCGCTTTGGCCTGCAAATCTAAACGACAATGAGGTGCCACCTCACACCTGTCAGAATGGCTGTCATCAGCAAACGGCAAGAGCTGGCGAGGATGCGGAGAAAAAGGAGCCCTCGGGCACTGCACTCACTGGCGGGCATGCAGACTGGTGCAGCCGCTGTGGAGAACAGGGTGGAGTTTCCTCAAAAAACTGAAAACGGCCGAAACCGGTGCGGCTCAGTGGACAGAGCGTCGGTCTGCGGACTGAAAGGTCCCGGGTTCGATTCCGGTCAAGGGCATGTACGTTGATTGAGGGCACAGCCCCGGAAGGGGGTGTGCAAGAGGCAGCCGGTCGATGTTTCTCTCTCATCGACGTTTCTAGCTCTCTATCCCTCCTCCTCTCTCTGTAAAAAAAAAAAAAATCAATAAAATATATATTTTTAAAAATAAAATAAAATGCATGAAGTTGGGACCTCCCTCGGTGAGCCTCACCCGGGGGCGGCGGTGGGGAGGGGGTGGGGGTGCTTCCAGGTCTCACCCCTGGGTTTGGTTTTGCACTTCCCCGTAGTGGCCAGAAGGTGTCGCTGTCCAGAGGCCCAGCAGGTCCTCCCTGGCCGGCCCTGCTGTCAGCTGTCAGCTGTCAAGTTCATTTCCACACGCAGGGAACTTCCGGTTCCCCATGTGCGTGTTCTCAGCGGGGAAAACCGTGCCAGCGCTGTGGCCAGGCTACCGGTTCGCTTTTCTCCTTGCAAAGAGAGAGGGCTGGGGGCAGAGGTGAGAGCTGCTGTGACAGCGTGTCCCCAGAGACTGAAAAGGGGGGGGCGGTGAAGGGGGGGTCTCCAAGGGACTGGCCAGGGGGTTCCGGTTTGAATACGGCCCCTCTGGGACCCCGATAGACCTTCCATCGACGTCTAGAGTCCCCCCCCCCCCTCACTCCTCCCAGGAGAATGAACTCAGAACCCAGGCCTGGGGCCCCCGATCCCCAAAACTGCCCTCCCCTGATCAATGCCTAACTGCCCCCCTGCAGGCCCGATTGCTCCTAACTGCC